GGAGGAGGGAGAGAGGGAGAGCAGAAGCAGACCCAGGGAAATGGGGAAGAGTTGTGTTTAGTAAGATGTGGTCTGTCCTTGGGACTCCTCAAATCCTCAGCAGAGATGCTAACATACACACACACACACACACACACACATACACTAGAGGCCCGGTGCACAAAATTTGTGCATTCGGGGTGTGTGTGGGGGGGTATCCCTCAGCCCGGCCTGCGCCCTCTCACAGTCCGGGAGCCATCAGTTGGACATCTTAGCGCTGCGGTGGAAGTGGGGAGGAGGCTCCCGCCACCACGCTGTGCTGTGCAGCGCAGCCGTGAGCCAGGCTTCTGGCTGAGCGGTGCTCCCCCTGTGGGAGGCGCACTGGCCACCAGGGGGCAGCTCCTGCATTGAGCATCTGCCCCCTGGTGGTCAGTGCATGTCATAGTGACTGGTTGTTCCACCATTTGGTCAATTTGCATATTAGCCTTTTATTATATAGGATATATATAGTCTTTTCAATGTGACAGCCATGTGCTTTACACACATGGACCATTTACTGTTCCCAATTCTCTGAAGCCCAGAGAGACTGAGTGCTGGATCCCATGGCCCCGCTAGAAGCATTAATGGAGGGCTGCGGGGAGTGGGGGACACTGCAGATGGGCTGGAGGGGTGCAGAGGTTCAGGGAACCGCATTCTATGGCAGGGAGGCAACAAACCTACACTCTGCTCTGGAGCCAATGAAAATGTGATGGGGCTGTGAGTCGGCGTACTCAGCTGAGCGGCCCAGCTGAAGTGACCAGTAGGGAAAGGCCTTCTATGCCATCTCCTGTGAGATTCACACTGGGTATCACACACACACACACACACACACACACACAGAGACAGTCAGAAGCACGTTCAACAAAAGTTCATACAAAGAGTCAAGAGGAAGGGTCTTTTGAAGCCCTTGCACTCTAAAAAGGTGAAATAGATCTTGTTCTAACAATCATATTTCTAATTATATAATCACAATTGTGATAAATACCCTGAGAGAAAAGTGGGGGGTGCCACTCCAGGGCCTAATCTAGTCTGGGATGGGGCCTGAGCAAGCTTCCTGAAGAAATCACATTTGATCTGAGATACAGAGTAGGATCTGACCAGGTGATGGATGGGGCTAGGAGTTGGGAGAGTCCAGGGATGCAAATGCGGCCTACCAGCTGCGAGTTTGACATGCTTGCCCAGATGTTTCCAAGCAACTTGTGCAAAATGGCCAGAGGCAGGAAGATACCTGAGGTCTCCAAGACCCTGGAGGAAGCTGGTGTGGGTGATGGGGGAGGTGATGCCTTAGAGGGAGCAGGACCACTGTGGGAAAGCTAAGGGCATTTTCCCCACGCTAAGGGCACTGGTGCTCAGCCTGCAGGAAAGCCATTGAAAGTTTTGCTTTGTTTCATTTTTTGTCAGGGAGGCAGGGGGATCAGAGAGGCATTCTAGGAGGATTCCCATGGCAACAACAATATTCATGACAGACAGGAGAGGCCAGGGATGGGCAAGGAACGACACAGCCTTGGGTGAGTGCCGGGGAGACTGAGAACAAGACTGGACTTCCAAGGTGACCCTGAGGACAGAGGATCAGTGTGGGCTGTGAGGGTAGGAACATTTTTGCCCTGCTCTCTTGTAAAAGAAAAACTGCATGATTTGACTTATATGTGGAATAGAAAAAAGTCAAGCACATAGAAGCCGAGCAGCATGATGGTGACCATGAGCATGCTGGTGGGTGAAGTGGGGAGATGTTGGCTAACGTTGTACCAAGTTGCAGTGAGGTAGGATGAATAAGTCTACAGGTTTAATGTACAGCATGATGCCTGTCGGCAATACTCTGAATACTGGAACTTTGTGAAAAGAATATACTTCAGGTGCCACTGATCACACATAGAAAAATGGTAACTACTGGTATATGTCAACTAGTTTGACTGTAGCCATCATTTCCCGTGCTGCACATCTTAAATATATACAGTTTTTATTTTAAACATTTAAAAAGGAATTGAAAGCCATTCCCATGGAGGTGATCTGAGAGCCGTGGGCAGCTGGGACTCTGCAGAGGGTTCAGAGAGAAGGAAAGAGTAAAGGAACAAAACCCGGGGCTGGCAATTCACAGAGCAGAGGACACCGGCAAGACGAGTTTAATTGGGTGAGTCACCGACCTTCTGAGCCTGGAGATTTCATCTCCAAGTGCAGGTTTCTGTTTTCTCATGGAGGAGAGACGGATCTGACAGCCCTGGCCCATTCCTTAATGAGAACAATAGCTTGGAGCTGCGAAGTGGCTGCTTCCTGGAAGGCGGCTTGCTTATTTCTAGTTCCCACAGTCCCTCCCGGGCACACGTCACTCACCGAGGGCTGGCACAGACAGAACAGACTGCTGTGGAGGCTGGAGCAGAACCCAGCTCCCAGGACTTGGGAGTGGAAGGAGCCAGTGGGAGTCAGAGCCGTGAGCACAAACACCCTCCGGGAGAAGTCGGAGGAAAGAGGAGCCCCTTCAAACCTCTGCAGAGGGCAGGCACTGTGCCCTGGGCCAAGGGGACGTGGGAGAATAGGGGCAAAGGCCGGTCCTCAGGCAGTGTCCCGACTTAGCACAGAAGCCAGCCTGGCTGCATTATTGTAGGACGAGGCCACGTGAAAGCCACAAAATGCTGGCAGTTCTAAGAAAGGGGCAGCCTACATCAGCCCTCCACCCCCCACACTGTATTAGCAAACTGAAGCTATCTGGCAATTAGAAATCTGTGGTTAGAGGTCTGATAAGTGTACTAAGTAAGTTATTAACGTAAAGAGCACCGGTGTCATGCATTCGTCAGAGCAGCAGCAGTCTGTTTAGCTGGTCTTACGTGCTTCTCAATATTGCACCTTTCCCTGCAGTAGGCCGTCTTTTTGCAAACATCCTTGGAAAAGTGGGCAGCTGAGTTAATCAGTTATCTGTGCTCTGCGGGTCTGCCCAGAAAGACTACCGCCTGCCTTTCAATCCTGCCTTTCTTTAAAGCTACTCTTAGTGGGCTTTAAATATGGCTTAAAATGTTAAGTGTTTAGCCTTTTTCTTTACCGCCTAGAACTTTTTGGTCTTTATTCACTGAGGCCGTAACTGAGAAAAAAAGATCAGGACTGAGCCAAAGATTGAGAGTCATCACATGGAACTGACAGTTGAAGCCAAGAGGGACACCACGTTAACCCAGAGAGTAAAGGACAGGGAGAGAAGGGTCAAGGACAGAACTGTGAGACCTGCCCACTATGGGGGTAGGATTGCTCTGCATGACCCTCCAATGGCAAACTTCTAGGTGAGAGTACTAGGAAGAGAAGGGGCAGGGCCACAGCAGGGATTGTGGGGCAGGTGGGAGTGGCTCTCAGATCCAAGAGGAGGCTCCTCCCCTCCTCCCCCCAACCTCAGCAAAGGAGAGACCTGTATGGGTTAGGGCCATGGTCGGCAAACTGCGCCTCATGAGCCACATGCGGCTCTTTGGCCCCTTGAGTGTGGCCACGAAGTTTCAATTGCACTGTATGTGTGCACCCGCACGTGGTATTTTGTGGAAGAGCCACACTCAAGGGGCCGCAGTTTGCCGACCACTGGGTTAGGGAGTCCTGCAGGATTGGAACTTTGAATTCT